CCTCAGGCGGAGATAAAGATCTGCAAGCCTTGAAGAAGGAGGTTAAAAGACTAAGGAATCAGGTCTCAGTGATGTCCATCAAACCTACCACAGCCCCCCAGCCAAGCCAACTCAGTCAAGAGTCTCCGCCCATCCGGAAACGAGAGGGAGATTCATCACAGAGAGACTCAGGTGATTGCTTCTGCTATCGTTGTGGTGAGGACGGGCATTTTTCCACTAAATGCAATGCTGCAGAAAACCACCAGAAAGTGATACAGAAACTGATCCGTGCTCAACAACAACTGAGGGCAAATCGGAGGGAAAAAAGGGCTGTCACAACCCCTGGGAACGCTCATAACGTCGGCGTAAGGAAAAGTTCTGTGAATGTCCAGACTACTAGTCTTCCAGAGGGACTTATTGGACCACTGTCCACCGCTTGTGTGAAAGTAGAGGGTCAGCGATGCACTGCTCTCCTTGATAGCGGATCACAAGTAACAATTGTCTTTGACAGCTGGTATGCCAGACACCTTTCACATGTACCCCTACATCCAGTCAGTGGTCTAGCCATTTGGGGTCTTAGTGAATCAGGGAGCAGTTATCCTTACAGAGGCTACATCCAAGTGGAGTTAGAGCTTCCAGAGAAGAACCCAGGCAAAGCCAAGGCAATACCTGTCCTTGCCCTGGTGTGCCCAGAATCCCCGCTGTTCCGACAACATTCCTATCCTGATTGGCACCAATGTTCGCAAGGTCAGACCACCCACTTCCTATGATGAAGTCACAGAACCAGATAACATCCAGTCACTAAGAGTCAGCGTTTCAGAGCAGAAAGTCAAACCTCTACCTGTCACGAAGTTCCCCAAAGTTAATCCTGATGACAGCCCCGTGGCTGAAGTGAAGTGGTCTGGCCCTGGTCCCCTGGTCATCCTTGCTGGCAGCGAGTATATAGCCACCTGTAAAGTCAAGGAGAAACACCATTTGGGAGACAGTATCCTCGTTACTGAACGTGCCTCTTCCCCTGCTCTTCCGCCAAGTGTGTTGGTACAGCCAACTGTCCTATTCTCAAAGATGATGGATAAGAACAAGTTCCTGGTTCTGTTGCAAAATTAATCATTAAAGACCACCTCCATCCCCCTGGGCATAGTGATTGCCCACCTGCATGTAGCTGATATGGTGACTGAGGTTCCAAGTTCAAAGTCAGAGGCTTCACCAAAGATTGATGCATCACAGTTTGATTTTGGAGATTCGTCCCTTCCAAAAGAGTGGGAGGAACGTCTGAGACAAAAACTTTCTGAGAGGTCCAGTGTGTTCTCAACCAACGAGTGGGACGTTGGATTAGCCAAAGGGGTGGAACATCATATACGGCTGCATGACGATACCCCATTCAGAGAACGGTCTCATAGAATACCGCTTGCTGACCTTCAAGGCCTTCTGGCGGCAGGGATAGTAAAGGAGTCCAGAAGCCCCTATGCTTCACCCATTGTCCTGGCGCGAAAGAAATCCGGAAAACTGTGAATGTGTGTGGATTATCGAATCTTGAATCGCAGAACCATCCCTGATCAGTACACAGTGCCCCGAATTGATGATGAACTTGATTGTTTGGCTGGAAGCAAGTGGTTTTCAGTGTTGGATTTGCGCAGTGGGTACTATCAGATCCCGATGGCAGATAAGGATAAAGAGAAAGCCGCTTTTATATGCCCCCTGGTATTTTATGAGTTTGAGAGGATGCCACAGGAAATCACAGGGGCACCGGCAACCTTTCAGAGGTTCATGTACTTGGATGACTTGATCGTATTCGGCAAAACCTTGGAAGAACATGAACAAAGGCTCCTCAAGGTGATGGACAGACTGAAAGAAGCTGGTCTAAAGTTATCAATAGACAAATGCCAGTTCTGCAGGCCCCAAGTGACCTATGTGGGACACATTGTGTCAGAGAAGGGAATCTCTACAGACCCAGCCAAAGTGGAAGCAGTAGCCCACTGGAAACAGCCAACTGGGCCTCACATCATTGCAGTCCTTCTTGGGGTTCTGTGGGTACTACCGTCGCTTCATAAATAACTACTCCATCATAGTTAGACCCCTCACTGAGCTCTGCAAGGGTTACCCTCCGACCCAAAAGAAGAGGAAAGTAGCCAAGGCAACAGAAAAGACGTACTACAAAGTAAGTGAACCCTTTGGGGACAGGTGGGATCAGTCATGCACCGAGGCCTTCAAGAAGATCATTCGCTGCCTAACAACCGCACCGGTTTTAGCCTTCGCAGACCCAGCAAAACCCTATGTGTTGCACATAGATGCAAGTTTTAATGGCTTAGGGGCCGTGCTCAACCAAGAACACCCAGAAGGGCTGAGGCCAGTCGCTTTTGCTAGCAGGAAGCGGAGTTCCTCTGAGAAGAACTACCCAGTGCGTCAGCTGGAATTCCTGGCACTTAATTGGGCAGTGGTTGATAAGTTTCATGATTATCTGTATGGAGCTAGTTTCACGGTGAGGACAGATAACAACCCACTGACGTATATTCTCACCACCGCTAAGCTAAATGCAACTGGTCATCGTTGGCTTGCATCTCTCTCAACATACAACTTCACCCTTCAGTACCGACCAGGAAGTAGCAACATTGACGCTGACTCGCGTAACCCACTTCCTGACAATGAGATTGAGTGGCAAAACATCTTACCGGAAAGTGTCAAAGCTCTTTGCAAACAGATTGGATGTGGAAAGGCAGCTGGAGAGTTCGTTAACAGTGCAGAGTTATTAGGGGTTTCCCCTGAAGCCATCCCTGAGTGTTATGTGTTTCCTGTACGTTTGGATGTTGGTTGTCTGACGCAGATAAACTGAAACGACCTTGTCAAAGCCCAAGACACAGACCCAGTAATCTCCCCGGTGAAGAAGGCAGTCAGAGAAGGACAGCCATTTCACTCAGTCAAGGGTGAGGACTCTGGAGTCGCATTGTTGCTGAGAGAGGCAAACAAGTTGCTGATGGCCGATAACCTTCTCTACAGAGTAACCGAAAGGCCATCTGGTACTGAGGTACATCAACTTGTCCTTCCCAAAGAGTATGTTCCCATTGTGCTTAGATCCCTACATGACGAGTCAGGGCATCTGGGAGTGGAAAAGACAGTTGAAATCATCAGAGATCGGTTCTACTGGCCTAAGATGGGAGCAGAGGTGGGACAGTATATCAAGAACTGTGGCAGATGTGTTGCACAAAAGACAGCACCTCAGAGAGCGGCACCATTAAATCAGATCACCAGTAAAGGCCCACTCGATCTGGTCTGCATGGATTTTTTATCCCTTGAACCTGATTCTCAGGGATTTGCAAATATCCTTGTTGTGACTGATCATTTTACCAGGTACGCACAAGCTTTTCCTGCAAAGGATCAAAGGGCTTCAACGGTTCTCTGTGAGTGGTATTTTGTGCATTATGGACTCCCTGCGCGGATACATTCGGATCAAGGGCGAGATTTTGAAAGTAAACTCGAGGCAACTGGCTACTCCCCTTATCTGCTGATGTTTGGAAGGGAAGCTCGCCTACCTGTAGACATCTGTTTTGGAGTGTCGGGACAGAGTGAAAAAGGTGTGACGTACCAGCAGTATGTTACTAAGTTGAAGGCTAATCTTCGCAAAGCATACCAACTGGCTGCCGAAGCTGCTGACAAGAATTACATGAGAAATAAAAAAGCACATGATAGGTTAGTGAAAGAGCAAGTCTTAGAAGAGGGAGACCGAGTGCTGTTGAGAAACTTCGGTGTCACTGGAAAGCACAAGCTGAAGGACAAATGGAGGTCGATGCCTTACACCGTGGTTGGAAAGATGCCAAACCTCCCAGTCTATCAAGTGAAACCCGAAAGGGGCATTGGAGTGGTGAAGACAGTACACCACAATCATCTGTTACCCGTTGGCTTGCAGATAGTGATGAGCCAGCGTTACCACAGAGGCCGGTGACTCGGACACAGCAGAGACGGACTCGGAGTTCTACGCCAATTATCAGTAATGGAGATGATTTCCCCACTTCAGAGTCGGATTATGAGGACGTAAATCCACCAAGACCCCTGACATTGGAGTGGAGAGGTCTTTTGTCACAACCAGAGTTTGTCATAAGAGAACCAACTCGAGTCATAGAGGATGTTCCAGCGGCTGCACTAGCAAGAGACCTGGCTGAAGTTGATCCCAGTGTAGAGAGCGTTGACATCCCAGATGTTTATCTACCTCCCTCTCCTGATCCAGATGCAGGACGAGAGTTAGAAGGGGGAGAAGATGTAAATGAAAGTGAGCTTCAAGTGAAATGCTCAAAGAGAGTGAAGAAACCAGTGGTGAGATTGAGTTATGATGAGCTTGGAAAACCCTCTGACTACCCATTAAATGTCTTAAGCCATGGGGTGTTTGTTGGAAGTGGCACCTACAAAGATTCAAGATGCCACCTATGCCAAACAGCCTGGTGTGACTTTATGGCATTGTGTCCTGATTGTTTCAATAGAAATAATTTTAATCAGTAGAAACAGATCCAGGTTATCGGAACCCCGAGTTTGATGGGGACATCAAACCTGTTAGAAGGGGGAGGGTGTAGCCCTGGTGTAAAATATAGGGATTAAAATAAGTTAGTTCCTATCAAAAGCAGAATAAAATAAGTCAGTAGGGAAATTAACCTAAAAAGAAATTTAGTTTAATAAGGAAAGAGTAATGCTTAGCTCAGATATTAAGATAATTTAGTCCTAAAATGAGATGAAAATGTAAATATTTGCAAAATAAACTGTTCTGTGTTTGAGGTAAAACAGTAAGGTAAACTGAAAAAAAAAAAAAATTCCTGATTGCTCCTTTTAATTTTAGCTGTGATTGTTGATGTTGACGTTTGATTGGTTGCTGTGGGTGTCAGTCAAGGTCACTTGTGGTGATTGGCTGTAACTAAGAAAATGGACTGGGTGGGAAAGAAAAACGGAAGGGAGGATGGGGGGAAAAAAGCCGTGAGAGAGACTGGGGGAGAGACACGAAGTAGGAGAGGTGACCATGGAGCTGGAGAAAAGTGGAGAAACTTACAGAGATGCAGTTTGTCGAATGTTTACATAACGTTTGAGCAAAAGACGTTATAGCTGAGGACAGTAAAGCACAGTACTCGCTTAACCGCAGTGTGTTAGAGTGCAGGTTTAATGCGAGTGGGGCCGGGCTAACTGAGCTAAGGTCGGCGAGCCACTGTAGCAGAGGACGCCATTGCTGATCTTGGACTGTTTGGAGTTTCCGCACGAGGACGTAACGAGGACTTCGCCTCCGCTGCCGTTTGGATTCATCTTTTCATCGCTTCTTGCTCTGTTTCTTCTGGACGGACGCTGAACTGTGAGTTGGACCGTGTGTATTGTTACTCTGTTGAGAGAGAGAGAGGGGAAAAAAAGGATTTTGTCGGCCGCACCGCACCTGAGCTACACACAGGCCTGCAACTTTTTTTATTTTTGTGCGCAACTGAGAGACTGTGTGTGTGTGCATGCGGGCCCGATTTGTGTTTGAGTGGTAACTGATTAAGTATATGAAAGTAATGTTATTTGGAGTTAGCCTATTCATGTTTTGAGGAAAAAAAAGCCAGAAGAAGACGTTTGCTGAAGAAAGAACCAATAATGTGTGATATAGTATTTTGGTATCAAAGACAGGTTTTCTCTAATTTTAAAGTAATTATTTTCCTGAGTTTCCTAAGTTACCGGAGTGTAATATTCTTTCTAAAACAAAATTTATTTTAAAGAGGTATATTTTGTGTTTTGTATTGGTTTGTGTTGCTGCATTATTTGAAGAAACCGGTGATACTTTTTGTACTACATTTAACAAGGAAAGCAGTCAGTAAAATATCATTCCTGTTAACATAAGAGAATTGTTGGGTCAGTTATTTCAAATATATTATGTGGAGAGGTTTAAATGCTTAGTTTGACCATTTCTGTATATATTAAGAGGGTATTTCAGGAGTCACCCATAACAGGTAAACCTTCGGGGTAGCTACCTTTTTTTGAAACAAACACCAAACCCATAACACCCCATCAGTCAAGTCTAAAGCCTAATCATAGTCGCTCAGGCGCTTATACAGGGTGGTGGGGTGCTACACATGTTTCCTGTTTAGCTTTGTAGTTGTTCTGCCCATGGTGTCTGGTTTTACTTCCTGTCTCTGTGTTCACTGATTGATGTGAATCATCTCTGCCTTTTTATCTTCACCTCTCCTGTGTATATATGTGGTTGTCTTCCTGTTGTTAGTTGCAAGTTCATTGTTTCGCCAGTGTGTCTACCTGTGTCTCTATGGAGGTCTCGTTTGCCAGCCTTGTCTCTTACGTTTCCCAGTGTTTTGTGTATCGTACCCCATATTGTGTGGATTTCAACTCTGTTTTGTGGATTTATGGATTACTACCTGTTGCACTACCGGATGTGCATCATTTGCTTTTGGACTGCCTACTTCACCTTCACCAAAACACCTGTGTTTTGTGACAAATCATTCATGTACAAAATATTTGCTTGCCTATTTAGCATATTTTGAACCGTCTCAAATTTGCAGCTAAAAGTTGCCGATTTGCTCATCCCATAGACAGTTAGTTTAGCAAGGTGCCACATCACAACCTCTGCACTCAAGTGCGCAACAAGTGTGCAAATCATTCAAGGCTGCACATAGAAATGGGGAGAAGCCTTTATCATACTTATTAACGTCTGGTATCAATCCCAGCCAGTTACATTTTGGATCTTTAAAGCGTCAGCTAAATGACTAATTATTTAAAAGCACCAAGATGTACCGATTGCTGGTTAATCAAATTGGGAGTTTGGAGCAGCTTCTCCAGAAACAAATGTTCTCTCAAGGGACATGAAGTTGCATAAATAAATATGCAGCATGTGTTTTTTAATTGCAATCAACCCTCTGGACATAATTGAAACGTCTGATGTCAGCATGTTTTTAAACTGTAACAATAGATGATTGTTGAAAAGATCCACATAATAAACACAATTGCAGTAATACACTAATGGGCCATTATAAATGCACCATTTTTAAGTACCTGGACCTGGTGGGTGCACAACGAAAGTAAGATGTGAAGAGAAAGTAAGAGAATTTTGGCCAAATCTAAATCAAAAAGCAGTCTTTCCTCAGATAAAAAATGTGAAACCCCATGCCGACCTCCCTTGGGGGCTCCTGGGAAAAGTCTTCACTCAGGGTCTTTCAACTGCAGCAAAGCACAGAGACCTCAGATTTGGTCTCCACAAAGCGGCCTGGTGGCACAGGACACAATGTGGGAGGGAGGCAGAGCTAGGCAGGGACATGCTGCGTCGGCTTCCAATTAACTTGAAAAAATCTAATCGTTTGAAATCACCGACACTTCCCTCCATGCTGCCCTGAAGCACCCCCCACACACATTATGGTTTCATCTTGCCCTTTTTATATCAGATATGTGTGCGTGTGTGTGCTTGTGTCACACAGGCATAATATTCTCTACCACACACACACACACACACACACACACACACACACCTTGTTACTGCCACTGTTAATGTACCTGCAGACGAGTTTGGAAATTACCATAATCTAAATATTTATGTGTACATTTTATGTGAGATGGTTCACCACAACCACTGATGATGAACCTGGAAGTTAAATTCAGCTGCCTGACCTGTTGGAAAAACTGCTTTTGGTAATACTTTACAATAAGTTACACATAATTGTGAAAAATTATCAGGGATCTGACAATATGAGGAGTACCGGAATAACTCTTATTCAAGGATTATATAGTAGATAATGATGGGTTTCTAGAGAATAGAGTGGGTGCTATAACAAATAATTGGGTAATAATTGGTCCATAAGTCCATCTGTAAATCAGAATAACGTTGTTGTTCCTTAACACTGAGCGGTACAAACTCATAACAAATCATTAATTACTGATGACCTAATCGTAAGTTCCTCTTTTTGTGCTACTCAAGTAAAGTGGTGCATCATACTGAGCAGTAACCTCTCATTACTTCATGATTATCAGACCATTACTTACATTACGTTTTTACATTTTACAGAAAGAGGAAAGAGAGTGACTTTGTTATGAAAACACAACATTTTTCAGTCAGAATGTTACAAGAAATACATTTACAGAGTGAGGAATATTTTTCATTTTAAGTGTAAGTGTTTTGGGATACACTGTAGGAACAGGCAGGAGGTTTCTGCCTGGATCTCAGGTTGAACACAGACTTGAGAGGCAGCCAAAGTTCAGGCATAACTCCAGGCAAGGTAATGCAAATGTATAAGAGCAATCTTAGAAATCACCTTTCTGTTGAGAAAATGCATGTAAACAACACATTGCAGAAGCTGGTGAGAAGAAATAAAAGTGTGTATCATCTTCTCTGACGTGACATTCAGGATGGATCTTATTTTAGCCTTTAGAGACACACAAAAGGCATGACTGAACAAGCTTTTTAGTATGCAAGCAGCCATATTCCAGTGTTGCAATGCACCAGTCCTGTCATTCATGCTTATCATCGCCATCTGAGAAAGAAAAAGTATTTCCAGTGGAGTGCAGGCTCACATAAATTCCTTTCAACTCAAACCTGAACCTCAGGCAGTGAGTTAGGGGCTATCAGGAGTGGACTGCACCTGCTTTAACCCCACCTTTGTTCAACATAAAGGATGCTCCTGCTGCTGAACAGCACTCACTGCTTTGTAATTAATCTTCTAATTAATACTGTTGCAGCATGCATGAACATGCAACAATAAACAGCTGCATGTAGGCGTGTGTGTGCACACCTACCACAGACAGTGGCCAAGCTGATACCAGCTTTGATGACTGGTGGCTGGAAGGGCTCTTTGGGTGTTGGGAGAGTGTGTCCTCCTGACTGATGCATGAACATAATAGCCTGGAGCACTCATCCGCACTCAATATTTTAGATGGACTACGGGAGCTGCTGTGTCTGTTGCCACACAGCCTTATTATTTGCTTCATTAAGTAAAAAAACGTAGATGGAGAAACAAAAAAAAATTGAGCTGAAAGGGCAGCCGGAGAGGAGACGAGCTGACACAGATATTTCTGAGCTAAAGACGTTAAAGGAGGACAAACCTCTAGCTGTGCAGCTGGTAATTACTGAATGAGATACTGTATGAGCTGTGCATGGATCAAACCCCCCCACCCAGGCTGCTGCAGAGAGGCCGGGGAAAATGCAAGGCATTGTCTTTTTACCCATAGGTCTTTCACTGTGACATTAGCACAGTTTTACACTCAGCAAAATGAAAAGAGCATGACAGCCATATTCACATGGGTGATGTACAGAAGCAAATGGTGATTAGAGCAGAGAACAAAAACATATAATCCCTCAGGTTTCAATTATGGGATTTAATTATAGCAACAGTTAAGCACACTTTATTCATGTCTGCAGCAAAGTACATGTCTACAGAATGACTCAAGGGGAAGTAAATGCAAAGTGATGCAGGGGCAGGAACAATAGGCCAGTGTTTGCTGTGTTGTTTGCAGTGGTACACAGCAGAAGAGGGTGTATGATGTGTACATTTGTGTCCTGTCTTTTGATGTGTGTCCCCTGCTTTAGGTCATCATTGTCTTCTCATGCCATGTCTTCGCATCTAGTAACAGGCTTTTATAGGTAATTTTGTCTTTCCAAAGATGCACTGTAAATGCAAAAGGCATAATCTGTAGTCTGGAGCTCCAGCTAGAATCTCTAAATCCTAGTCAGTCTGACAGACCAGTGCACTGTTTGACAGTCTGGATTTAAGTATCTTTTGATCACAATTTAATTTAGGAGAAGTTATTAACAGAATAATTCATGACATGCAGCCAATTCCACATGGTTAAGTCAAACAATGTTGAAGAGAAGAGAAATCAGAACCCACGTGGAGGTGGAGTTGGTGTTGGAATGCATGTCAGTACTGTGGTAAATGCAGCCAAACACACATTTGTGACTCAGCAAAACAGAGAAAACTTTTTAGAAGAAGATGATTTTACAGATGGTCAAGACAAAACACAAACAATAACATCTTTCCACTATTTATTTGTGTTACAGTAATTATTTTGTTAATAATTGAATGAAGTGCCGTGTAAGATTTAAGGGGATATTGGCAAAATTGGAATATAATAGCATGTTTTCATTGCTGTGTTTTGTTACCTTAGAATGAACCTTTTATATCTACAGAGGGAGTGGGGTCCTCTTCCACAGACTCTGCCATGTTGCACCGCAATGTTTCTACACTAGCCCAGAAAAGACAAACCAAACACTGGCTCTAAGAGGGCCTTTTGCGTTTTTAACGCAAGTTAAGCCTAGTTCACACTACACGTTATGTGTGAACTACTCAACGACGCATCAAAACGGCTTCCCGACACATCACTGACACATTGCCGACATCTGACAGATATCTAGAAGAGTTCACATGTGTTTTATTGACAAAATGTGGTTTGGAGACCAGCATCGGGTGACACAGCTGCTGTCAGCTCGTGTAGTGTGTGACCCCCTTTCACCGATCAGTCACATAGTGTGAACGCCACAACGACTTCAAGACTCCCGTCACAAGACGGCAAGTTGTGTAGTGTGAACGGCACGGCGATCGGCCGACGCTGAAAGTCGTGTAGTCTGCACGAGCGTTTAAACATTCTCCTACACTCTTGGATCGGGAGGGTGAGGGAAGGGTTATTAGTTGGTTGCAATATGTAACCTCACCACTAGATGCCACTAAATCCTGCCCAGTGGTTCTTTTAACACATCTTTTCCCACTACAACCCTCTTTGTGGTTCTTGTAAATCCCATCTCCACTTTGTTTTCCTTGCAAACTCCCAAATAGCTTGCACCCAGTAAATTCATCAACCTCTGTTAACTTGTCACAACCTATTATTTCCGTGTTCCTCCCTTAAATGCATCTGCAATAAGGTGAGAGGTGCACCTTGCAAACACTCGCATAAACGACACGCAAACTCCAGATTCCAGCTGTGGCGTCTTCTTGATAAATACAGCGCATGTCTGAAAAACAGACGCAAAAGCCTGTAAAGTCAACATAGTGAATATGGCCCTGATTTTTTAAAACTCACTGGAAGGATAAAAAAAGTTGATGAAAGTTCACAAATACCACACATGATTGTGTTATGTTGAACAGAGCAGTGCACAAGAGGACATTACGCCTTCATCTCCTGATGGTGTTCTCTGTCCCTGAACAAAGATTGCGGGTTTAAGCAGTGGTTCACACTAAATGAGAGGACATAGCACTGCATCTGATAATAAAGTGGCTCCTCTGCTGAATTATTAATAATAAGTGCTTTTCTTCCAAAGAACAGGGATCAGTGCCCCACAGGGGGTCCACTGAGATGCCAGAGCCCTGAAAATCCTAACTGCACTACTTTGTTCAGCTGTAATTCTGATACCCCACACCAGCTTTGTAAGGCACCATTACAGTCAGTCAGTGGAAACAGGATCCATTTTAAAAGTGCTTAAAAGGGTTCTTTTATATATCACTAGCTGTGGTCAGCCTTCAGCCCTAGTGTTTTGGGACAAAAATGCACATGAAGTGAGGGTTCTCGTCCCTGTTGCTGCACTAGTGGCTCCAGTGCACCAGAGTAGAGCTTCTTTTCATTAATTTCAGCAGGAACAGGTTTGGAATTTAGCTGTGTCAGTTCAGCCCTATATCGCCAGACAAGATCCATCCTTCTGCCACCCTGACCTCCACAGATGGCAGCATAGCTTCATATACCGTCTCCTCACACCCCTTTCCTGGTGTCAGAAAAGGGGGGTCTGTCTCTGATCACTTCTACAACTTTCTCTGACATTCATGTCCACTTCACGCCGTGATTGGTCAGCTGTGCCAAGATGACAAAGGAGCCTTTTTTCTTTCTTTACAACAGTGGTTCTCAAAGCTTTTCACATGAAGGTCCCCTAAACAGACAAATTAGACCCCCATTTGATAAGATTTTGTCACTTTTGCTTTTAGATTTCTTACATTACGTGGATGAAACCCAAGACCAAAATAGTCATACATCCTGTCATTGTGTTACTTATGGATAGAACTATAGTGAAAATACATTATTTCTCCCAGGACCACTGCTTTACACATCAATTTCTGTCACTTTTCATGTGAACAACCAAGTGCAACGCTAAGAGTGTCTTCCCGGAGAGACTGTGTGCAAACATATGCCGTTATTGCCATATCTAAATGACACCGTATCTCCCTCCTCTCTATGAGGGGTTGCTGTTTCTGCAGCTCTGCAACATGTAAAAGCTTTGTACTGGCCACTTTTGACAAACGTGAGAAAACCTGCTTCGGCATGAGTTATAATTTGCTGTAATCATAGGCCAGAGCTGCTAGGAAGAGTTCAGCATTTAAAAGGTCACATCAATCACACACAATCCCCAGTAAAAAGAATGTGCAACACTTGAAAGCAGCATCTTGGTCTCTTGATGATTTAACTCATGTGTCAAGTTTAATATACTTTATAATGTATGACCAAGCATGTGTTTTTCTGCAGGTACTCATATAGTCTTGAATACCTTGTCTTTGGTAACTTCCCATGGAAATGATTGTGTTTCAACATAGATATGGTACATTTGATTGTTATTTAAGCTAAAGGGAGTTGTGGGAGTGTTGAGAGGTCATGAAAATGTAATAACTCTAATATTATCATCATCCCCTAGGAAAGTCTGCCAAACTCGGAAGCCCTTTGGTACACTGCACTGACATTAGCTCTCACTTTCTTCTGTACTCCTTACAGACTCAAGATTTATGTGCTGGTGTGAGCTGTCAGTGATAATTCCCCTTTACTTTGAAGATAAAGATTTACTTAAGTATGTGAGAGAATTCTGTAAACAGTGTTGTGTTTTCCCCCTCTCTGATCCAAAGATTAAGATGCCTGGAATGAAGTCTGGGGAATGTGAAAGGTGCTACCCCCAATCCAACGTCACCTGCACCTGTGCCACAGCTCCAGCCAGGAACAGAAATGAGAAGCATGTTACCCATATGACAGCAGGCGGGCCCCCAGCGGCTCGGGCTTCAGGTGTGATTTCAAAAGGTAAAAGTGTTCTGGCACAAGGCTTTGAGAAAGGCACCAGCTCTGCTTTGTCGGCCCAGTGCAGGGAGGCGTGGAGCAACCTGAGGAAGAGTGGCTCGCTCTGACATGCACCTTCCTCTGGGAGACCCTGACCAGAATCCCATCAAACGAGAAGCGTAGAGTTTCCAAACTTTGTTGTGCCTTTCATGTCTTTGCTCTCTTTTTTGTCTCAGACTTAAGTTGACTGTCCTGTGCAAAACAACATCACTTTTAGGGAGGAAGGAGAGTTTTCTCTCTTCCCCAGGTTAGATCAAAACAGCACCTGGTTATGAAAAGCATCTCCACTGGTAGACGGGTTGATGATCAGTAAATGCAGACATATTATCCCCATCTGCTTCTCTGCCTTTTTTGTCAGTACCCTGTTGACTTTTCTTAAAACGCATTCTGCACTCCCTTCCTGTCAACGTTGGAAAGACTCAGCTTTATGAATCAATCATAATCATGATATGATGATGTGAGGTCAAGTGAAAGGCTGTTGGAGGATTCATAAACATTTTATTTTTATCATGCAGGAATTAAAGAAGTGTTTTGCTGAGGCACATAAGGACAAATCAGAACATCAACTCGATTAAAATCCCACCAGTCCTGCTTTGAACATTGGCACTGAGCCTGCATGTACAACCAGCTGAGAGAGCGAGTGGCAGATTAGAGATTCACCTCAACCCAGGTGACACTCACCCGTTTTTTTCCCCCCCACAAATGAAATGAAATGAAATAGGGACTGACATGGATATTTTAACATTGGATAGCAGCCCTTGTAGGATATTGTAGGGACTGACACCCAACAAACATTTGGTTGAGACACGACAGGACAACAAACCACGGGAGAAAATTGAGCTTCGATCTTCCAGAATCTGAAAAGCTGTGAAGCTTGCCATGCCCGACTCAATGTGGTACAGGAAACCTGGCATGGTTTTGGAAGTCCATGTAGCTGTGTGTCTAAAGATACATGTGTGTATGTGTATGCACTATGCTGCCTGCTCACTAAACAGTCAGAGCTTGTCAGAGGTTACATAAGGCCTGCAGGGGTTTGCTGTGAATTGAGGACAGGGGAGAAAGACAAAGAAAGAGGAAACAAAAAAAGAACAAAGAAACTTTAAGAACTCAAATATGGTAAATGTAACATCTAACTGGTTAGCTTGATTGGGAATTTTTGTAGTGTAACAGCAATACAGGCTGATGTTCATTGTTTTGCAAATGGATTTCTCTGCTACAGCTAGGCACAATGTACAATAACACCATCAACTGAATCAAGAGGCCTGGATCGTAATCTATATTTCTTCTACTCTATTGTCCTCGGCAAGTTGACAATTAGTATTGTAATAGCAATAATCCATCCATCCATCGTCAACCGCTTATCCTGCGTACAGGGTCACGGGGGGCTGGAGCCAATCCAGCTGACATTGGGCGAAAGGCGGGGTACCCCCTGGACAGGTCGCCAGTCCATCGCAGGTAATAGCAATAACTTCCAAAACAATTTAATTTTAAAGATGCCACCTACTGTATCATCATTCCCTTTGAAGAAGTAGTCGACATCTTGTGAAATACACTTATTCACTTTCTCATGTCTGCACTGTAACTGTGAAGCTACAGCCAGCAACCTGTTAGTGTAGCTTAGCATAAAGACTGGAAATAATCTGTCTGAAGGGAACAAATGACAAATTGTGAGTTGATGGGTGCATGAACTTCCAGGAGTATTGCTTTAAGGGTTCTGAGCCTGGGGAAGGTTTGACAACCCATAGTATAATCTCTCAAACTGTGTTTTGCACAGTTATATAACTAAAAGCTGCTAGCAGTACCTTCATATTTCTACTGTGAGCATATGAGAGTGGTATCAAACTTCTCATTAAACATTTAACAAGAAAAGCAAACAAATGCTGACCTGTACCTTAAAAGACCTGGATGTACAATATGTGGTTGATGTTAGGGGTGAAGTTGTTGTAGATGTTGGTCTCCATAAAAATGGAGACAGGTGAACGCTCATTCACAGTACCAGTGTTCACACTGTTCACACATTTAGCTAAACAGCAGCTGCTTAGTATAATGTGGTGACGGTCCAGCCACACACACGATGAATCATCGTCAGTAGCTGTTGTAAATCCAAATTATCAAGATCAGTGATAAAGGTTTATGTATTATCTTAAACTGATATAACAGATGATAAAACAAAATGAAGAAATTAGGATATTAGCAGAGTTCATCACTGAATCATCAACAAGTGAGTCAGATATTTCAAAATTTATTCCATCAACATTACATAACTCTGTTGCTGAAGGACACACCGCTTTTTTCTTGCTCAAAGGCTGGTGGTCTGTGTCGGAGAATCTCTAAAGCCTTTAACGCTCAGGGGACCAACTCACCCCACTCCATGTCATCCAGAACTGCAGGCATGGTCAAGCTAGGTCATGCTTTGAGTTTTAGGTGTCTATAATAGTTACATAACAGGGAAGGTTGGGTTGCCTGCAGAATCAGATCCATGAAGGATCAGTAACACAGGAACCCCTTTCAGTTTCTTCTTCCTTTACTCGAGGCCAAAAGATGCAAATACCAGGCTCTCATTCGAGGTTATTTATTTATGTATATATGTCACATCCAATAAAAGCTACAAAAAAAATCGGGCACCTGAAAAACAACAATACAAACTCAAAAAGTTGTCTAGGCAGAAAGGGAACTGGAGTACAATTATGAGCCTGCGGGAGGATGGGCAGGGTTTTGAACATGTAGGCCTAAATGTCTTTGGGATAGGAGATGACTCTTACTTCGTCGTGACTCTCCACATTCAGTAATGCTGTGCTAGCAGAAACCTCTGCTCTCAATAAACCCAATCCAACGGCTCAATAAGCTCAATCAGGGATTACTCATCTCTTATTCAGCATGAATACATTACAGTTATATTGTAGTTAGAGGAAACCATCTTGTATTTAGGATTAAACACAATGATGCTTATAATGCAGTCTGACAGTAACATTTACAAGGTGCTTTTATCACTAATTTCTCAGGCAGATAGAGATGAATAGTAATCTCCCCATGCCACACTCAGTGAAGATCATGGTCAGGAGAATTACAATATTCTATAATGCTGTAGAAAAGATGTAGAATATTAGATTAAAAGCTGATTGTCGCACCGCATACATGTAGTTATCAAACAGGACATCTTAAACAGGCCTGAAAACATCAGCTTTTATTTTGAGGGGCCTGCACAGGATGACTCACTAGCCTCATTTTCTCACATCACTTAGCCTAGGTATGAGCAAATCATAGCTAACTATTAAAACAAAACACCACCAACTTTTCCATGTTCCTTGTTTAAAACAGACCTATGGAAGACTTGGGATCGGACACTGGAGGAAAAGCTGCATTTTTTTGAACTCAGAATTGAACCGTTTTCTTTGGGTGCTCGGGGCATTTCTCCAGAAATTGCAAGGCATGCTGAGTGGATAAAAGTAAGGTGCCTGGAGCTCAAAGCAGCACACAAAATTGTTCAAAAGATTCAAAACAATTACAAAAGGTGCTTCAAACTGCTAAAAATGTACTCTGTGTAATCACAGCCATCACGTTTTTGTGGGAGTCAGGAGTAAGATCACTGGTAAATGGGCAAGCCAGAGGCCAGATAAAATAGAAGGAATGACAACCAGAAGGAATTTGAAAGTGCATGGTTCAGTATAAATACTTTCTCTCACCTCTTTTCATTTGGGAAAGTGAGGATTGTGTGCCTTTACACATACTTTCATTTTAAAAATAAAGTCTAAAAATTAAATTATGACATTTGCGTTCCTTTCCCTTCCACATGTATATCAATGTTGGGTAAAACTTAAGCTAGTGGCTCTGTCTGACTGTACTACACAGTGGTGCTTTGAGCTAAGTAAATGCTAACATCAGCATGCTAACATGCTCACAATGACAATGCTAACATTATGATGTTTAGCAGGTATAATGTTTACCATGTTCACATCTTAGTTTAGCATGTTGGCATGCTAACATTTGCTAATTAACACTACACACAAAATACAGTCAGGGATGATGGGAATGTGATTAGTTTAGATCAATCAAAACAGATGAAAAATTGAAATTTTGATCTGATGGTGATGCTGGATGAAAGTCAGAAGGATCATCAGTCACGATCTGTGTACCAAATTTAATGGCAGTCTATCCAGTGGTTCTTAAAACATTTCACTCAAAACCACAAACGGGGGATCGTCGGAGTCAGAGGGATTCATCCTCTGGGAACCATTACTGTCTGTCCAAGATGTCGTGTTGTGTTCCTCATCAAGGAGCTGTTGAGATATTTCACAAGTGAAGAATATGACCAGCTAGTGGCGCTAGAGGAAACATCACCAGTCATCCTGCAACTGAAGCAGGGTCTGACGCCACAATTATGGATGTGAGTTCATGAGAAACAGTCTGGAAGCTTGAAAGAGTCATTAATGGTAATTGTGAAATGAGGGCTGCAGGGAGTCACAGTGGAAACATGCTGTGATGTTAAGGCCACAGGCTTGAGTTATTGTGCCACGACATGGTTCACTGGCTCAGTGACTGAAGTGAAAAACCCTTCAGGCAATCCCAAGCAAGGGCAACCTCTTCAACAATCTAATACAGACTGCAGTAATATCCCTCTGCATGCATAATGCAATGGCTAAATCTAATAATAAGAGAAGCAGAATGACAAGTAAAGACCCAGCTTCATAACTGTAACAGTCCACTGTTATAAAAGCAAGGGAGGGTGCAATTGGGAATTATGGGGTCTCGGGACTGTTGTTGACTCTGACCTCTCAATCACCTTCCTCTAATCCCCACGTCACTGTTACTCAATCTGTAAAGAAAACTCCTCATCTCACATTGATAATACTGATCAGCTGTCAAAAACCTTAACTTTACCTGATCAAAATCTGTGTAGAAAAGGCAATTCTATTTCAGTCTGTACAACAAAATCTCAGGATAAATTAATTTCTGCTTTGTTTTTTGTAATATTGTCACTTTTTAAAGTTTGATTGGTTTGCAGTTTTGTAGAATTCAGTCTCACCCTATTTCAACCAGTGTGAAATAAATATACAGAATATTTCAGTAAGCATTTCAGTCAAGTCCTCTTAGCATATCAGGTTTTGGGCTGTCAATATTGCTCATTCCCTACAATTCCTATGATGATCCTGAAGGGAACAGTTCTACATTTTGGGAAATGCACTTATTCACTTTCTTAGCGAGTTAGATGAGAAGCTCACTCTCACATCTCTCCGTTAAATGAAGCTAGAGCCAGGAGACAGTTAGCTTAGCTTATCATTAACAACTAGACTGTACACTGTCTCTGTCCTGTCTGCACCTCTACAGCTTGCTAA